TGTTATGCTGCTAAAAATCAGCCAGACATAGAAGAAAACAGAATGCAGGAAATACGAGACAAAGACTACAAGGCACGCATAAAACAAACAGCCAAGTGCTAGAGGAAAGCCCTCCATATCAGTCCAGAAGTCACCCTCCTTTGGGGGGAATATGCTCCGAGGACCCCCAAAACTGCAAGTGGTGCTGAGCCCTAGAAGTGCTGTGGTTTTTCACTGCCATCCATACCGTGGGAAAGCTTAACTTATAAATTAGGTGCAATGAGAGATTAACAGAAATACTCAATAAAACAAAGCCACGGAACTGTCATAACAATGTACAACATAATAATGGGTGAATATTTCTCTCTGACACAGACAGGCATTATATAAGGATTATGTTGTATAATGGGCATAATGGATTATATAAGGAATAAGGATTATATTACAGAATGGAGAATCTGGATGAAGGGGATATTTGTGTCCTGGGCAGGATAGAGTGGGACAGAGTAAAACTGAGTGAAATTTCATCTTGCTACTCAGAACAGTTTAAATCTTTTGAGTTATTTCTGGAATTTTCCATACTTCAATTGGCTTTGGGCAATTGAAATTGTGGGAAAGAAAACTGTGGACAAGGGAAACTACTGTAACTACTTTACTTGTTTATTTATTTTTATTTGTTTACCTTTAGAGACAGGTTTTCTCTCTGTAGCTTTGGCTGTCTTGGAACTCACTCTGTAGACCAGGCTGGCCTTGAACTCAGAGATCTGCTTGCTCTTGCCTCCCAAGAGCTGGGATTGAAGTCATGCGCCACCGAGCCCAGCTTCATTTATTTACTTATGCAGGATCTCAGCTGTAGCTGAGACTGACTTGGAACTTGCAGTCAATCCCTCGGCCTCAGCTTCTCCAGTGTTAGGACTACAGTGTGAACTGCCATGGTAGACTGCACGAAACACACGGTCCCGACTAGAGCTGTTTCTTTATTTCTGATTGGGGTATGAAACAGTACACCCATTTATATTAGAAATGTTCTTACACCCCTAATCTAGGAGGCATCCTGGCTTAGCACCCCAACACACCGGAGGGGACTGGTTGTACTTGTGACTGGCTGACTGGAGCTGCCCAGCACTGGAGAACATCAGACTGCATTATCATCCGCTGGGGAACAGCGCAAAGCACAGTTTCTACTGATTGCATATTGATTTTACATTACGTTGTGCCAATGTCAAGTTAAAAATGATTAAGCCGAGCCGATGATTGCGGGCCAGGTATAGGAGACGCAAAGGAAACCATTAGCGACCATTGATATGTGCTTCCCAAGAGAGATTTACTTTAGATCCAAAGACACAAATAGATCCACAATGAGAGAGTGGCACAAAGATCTTTCAGAGAAGTTGTAGCCACGCCTGTGGGGTGGCTGCACCAGTATTCCACAAATAGATTACCGTCAGTTCTGTACCACTCCAGAGACAGACCCCACCGACCAACCGACCGACACAGTGAGGGAATGAAGAAATGAATGACAGACAGACAGACACACACACAGAAAGCTGGGTTCGGGCGGTCTGAACTCTTGGATGGAGAAACCTCACTCCAAGCGTGTCGTTTCAGTTTGACAAGGTGAAAAGATAGAGGTGGGCAGGGGTAAGGACTGCACCACCTCCTCACATCACCGAACCGAACACTGAGAAAGGGTTAAAGCTGGGCAGGGGTGCTCACCTTTAATCCTCACACTCTGGAGGCCGAGATAGTCCAGGTCTCTGTGAGTTCAAGGTCAGCCTGGTCTACATAATAAGCCCCTGTCTCAACAAACAAACAAAAACAAAAAGAAAGGGTTAAAATGACATGTATGTTGTGTGCATTTTACCACACTGAAACTAAGTAACAAATGGATGGGGAAACTAAAGGAACCTGATTATAGGGCCCAGGAAAACACTGTGGGTGTAGAGGGCTTGGAAGGCACAAAGGAAGACGGAAAGGTGGTCTGGGGCCTTTAGAAGTAACACCTTGAAGACCTCCCTTGGCTGCCTTCTGGACAGGTGACAGGGCTCAGTTGAATCAGTAGGTGGAACCTGCTTCGATTCCAATCCATGTGTTCCCCAGTTTGGTGGTGGTTGGAGATCAGAGGCTGTTTTCCAAGTAGCTGTCACACTGGTCCCTTTCCAGGGGTCTGGATACACACTTGTGACCCTCCCCTCCCCTCCCTCCACTCACCTCCCTCCCCTCTCCTCCTCCACCTTTGTTTCCATGTGCCTCTGATCCCCTACACTCCCGACAGCATGCAATGCTCCTACCACTGTGGCTCAGACATGGGAGCTGGAAGCCCCGAGGATTCAGTGTCATGAGACACTTTATGCCCCATTCACCCCTCATTTTTAATTCAGGAGACCGAGGCCCAGAAAAATGAACGACACGTCCAAGGTCACAGAACTAATAAGCAGGACAGCTTCTAGACTCCCAGTCAAGGGCTGTTTCTTCCTCTTTCTCTGCATTGCTCCTATACACGGCATCCCCCTGCCTCATTCATCTGCCCTGCTGTCTTTATTCTCTGTCCATCTCTCCACTCATTCCACATGTTTCCCGGATGAGCCTCTGACACATGTCTAACCTTGACTGTGCCCTGGGAGTTCACAGTCAAGCTAGACTCATAGACGCAGGCATAGCATAGATCCTAAAGAATTTGAAGGTCTGCCAGCAGCAGAGACTGAGCATACTGTATCCAGAGCAGTCTGGGGACATTGTCATGGGGCAGGGGGTGAAGGAATCCTCTTGGGCCCAGAGAAAGGGAGGGTGAGCTTAGCAAAGGAAGGATATGCCCTAAGTCTGCAGGCCAAAGAGTGGGGCAGACAGTGTTTCAATGTGCTTGAGGAGCAGGGAACCAGGGGCTCCAGTGAGGTCTGGCCTGAGAGAAGAGGAGGCGAGGAAGCCTTGGGGAGTCTCACATACCTCCAGTTAGTCTGTTGGTCTCCTCCCAGAGGCCTGGCAACTCTCTTGCCTCACCTGCCTCCCTCCACATACATTCTTACTCCTCCTCCTCCTCATCTGAACTCCATCATCTCCTTCTTTCATTTGATCCTAGCAGTTCCTGGTTCCTGCTAGCAGGCCACCCCTTCCCATTTATCCCTTGTCCTGCCTCCCTGCTGAGAACCTGACCATGCCCTTCCACTCTACGATGCAGGCACGGAGTCTTCAAGACGGACCCGGGATTCCTGGCTTTGCCACCGCTGACTCTGACTTTAACGTGCCCACAGGAAACTTTCTGGCCGCCAGAATCCTTCTGGCTCATTGTTTCATTGGACCCCTCTAGATCACCTGGGTATGGAAAGATGTTCATTTACAGCACGGTCCAGAAACCTGACCGGATTAGGTATCCCAGACTGCCAGTGAACCCTGGGGGCCTTTGTTATCTTACTCAGGGTGATAACTCTGTTATCAGAGTACTGTGTGCAAAGAGCTGTGTACTCAGTTTATTACTCTCTGCCCTAGTACAAACAGAACTTTGAAAGTTTACTGTCTCAGAAGGCTGATGTCTATGCACGCTAGGGTCAGTGGCAGCCAAGAGCAAATGGGTGTTTTATCAAGAGATTTTCAGATTTCTAAATGATAGTTCACAGTAAGAAACACATAGTACCACAACTGGACACACACACACACACACACACACACACACACACACACACACACACACAGCCCATATTTGAAAGAGAAGTTTGACAAGTAGTGTCCAAGTGTCCATACCTATAATACACTCTGATGGCTTCTTTTCTGCCCCATTTTGTTAGGAATAACAATGATGGTGACAACTCTGTGAAGTGATTTCACTCCCCACAGAGAGTTACAATGGGCAATATGCAAAATGCTGCTTTGGTCTCTCACATTAAAACGAGACATAAGGAAAGAATTCTTTCCCAGCCTCCTTGCTCAGCTAAGCAGATAAATGGCAGTATGTATTCGTCTTTCCAGCTTTCTCACCTTCCAGTCTTCCTCTCTAGAAAGGCACAAGCCTTCCAGGCCACTGAGATGTCCCCCGGGCTCTCACTGTGTGAGGAGAGGAACACAGGCCTGCCTTCCCCTCCTGGGCCAGCATCCCTGCATCTCTGTCCCCCCCCCCCAAGGCTTTTGGTCAAGGCACTCTCTCCAGTGATATTGCACACCTTCAATCCCAGCAGAGGCAGAGGCAGGCAGATCTCTGTGAGTTCGAGGCCTGTCTGGTTGGCGGAGTGAGTTCCCTCCCAGCCTTTGCATCTGCTGCCTGTCAACAGGACCTCTGCCCAAATCCACTCCACCCCGGGCACAGTTTGGCTGAGAGCACTTCGGGCGGTCCTCTCCCCCTCGCCGAGTGTGGGGTCTCCTCAGTTATGGGAGCAGCCTTTGTGCTTTGTGTCTCCCATTTGGTGTTCAAAGCTTTGTTCTGGTGGCTCAATTTGTTTCTGTTTTTTTCTGCTCCAGCCCTGGCAGCTCTGTAAGTCTGAGGTCTGATGTGTTTGTTGCCATGGCCCCAGCACAGAGCTCAGGACCTGGCACATCGTATAGACAGCGTGGATATTTTTGGAGGGATAGACTTTAGACTCCAGGAATGTTAGAACCATACACAGAAGCACTGTGTCAGCCAGGCATGGTGGCACACACATATAATACAACATTCTGGAGGCTGAGGCCTGAGGATCTGGTGTTAGAGGCTCCGTTGTGGTTTCTATTGCTGTGAAAAGACACTGTGACCGCAGCAGTTCTTATAAAGGGAAACATTTCATTGGGGCTGGCTTACAGGTTCAGAGGTTTAGTTCATTATCTTCATGGTGGCACACAGGCAGACATGGTGCTGGAGAAGGAGCCCAGAGTTCTACATCTGGATTGGCAGGCAGCAGGAAAAGGGAGGGACCCTGGGCCTGGCTTGAGCTTCTGAAATCTCAAAGCCCACCCCTCCATGACACACTTCCAACAAGGCCACACCCACTCCAACAAAGCCACACCTACTCCAACAAGGCCACACCTACTCCAACAAGGCCACACCTACTCCAACAAGGCCACACCTACTCCAACAAGGCCACACCTACTCCAACAAGGCCACACCTCTCAGTAGTGCCAATCCCAGGGAGCTCATGGGGGCCATTTCATTCAAACTACCGAAGAGGCTTACCTGGATTATGTAACAAGACTTAATAAATGAAAGTAGAAGAGCAAACAAACAAAGAGAACTAGCCTAGGGTCCAGAGGGGGCAATAACTACATGGCTGGAGTACGGACCGCTCCAATCAGAGCACAGATATTGCAGTCACAGAAACACAGTGACTGGGTTCACAGAGGTGGACACGTGGGGCCAGAGACTACGTGAGTTCCGGTGCTTCCCAGATGAGATGGCTCTGGCTCCCAGTTTTGTCTTATGAACCGATAAGAAGCACCTTTTTGTGGATCTGGTGATCATTTGGGAGAGATTGGGACCGTCGAATCTGACTGAATGCACACACTACTGTGCTCCCTCTGTGCTGGGATGGGTGACCTGTTTCCCTTTGTGACCAAACAGTCCCTGCTCTGGCCTGGTATGGATGGTGAGGCCTGGGCTATGGCCAGGGATACTTCAGGAAGGATTCTCAATCAAAGCAGGACAAACTGAATCAGAAACCTGGGTTTTACAGATGGGAAAACTGAGACTCAAGAGAGGGCAGGAGTCCAAGGTTCATATAGCATGCCATGGCAGAAGTCCAGGGAGAATCTACTCTTCTGTGTAGGCTCCTTCCTAAACCCCATAGGTCACTGGGCTCACAAGAGGAAGAACTGGGTCTTGAACCCCAGCCTCTGACTCTGAGGCTCCTGCTCTTTCTGTTGCTCTGTACTATCTCCTTATGTCTCTCCCCTGGCCCGTGTCCTGGAACACGGGCAGAACAGGAGACTGATGGGGTAAAGATGGTCCATCAAATATGGTGGGAGGGGAAGGGAGAGGGCCCAGCTCTCCAGCAGGCACTCTTGGCTTCCCCACTTTCCAGGGAGCTGTTGGGAACCCGTTTCCTTTTCTGTAAAATGAAGACAGTTATTATCTTGTACGGTGGTGAAAAGGCCCCCTGGAATCACTATGGAAATGGACACAAGCCTGGATATGGCAGCTACTGGATACGGTGTTCTTAGCAGTAACAGCAGCCGGGTTTAGTAAACCTTGTTGAATAACAGGGGTGACCTGGCTCACCAGTTGCCTCCAGAGCTGAGATTGGAAGCTAGTGAGCAGGAGGCAAGAGAAGAGACTAATAATTGAGCACCTGCCTTGAGTCAGGCATTACACAGTGTCACAGCTGCTGGGGTCAACTCTGAGTGCTCACGGCAAGGTGCAGCGAGCTGTCTGACTTCAGAGGCGGGAAACCGAAGCAGAAGGGACATAAGGTTCCACCTCTTGTGAGAGCAAAACACAGATTTACAGCTTGGTCAGTTGGACCCGAGAGCCCCTGGGCAGCCTCCGTGTTGACACACGTGTCTCATCTCTGCTCAGAGGCCCACTGGGTTATCTTTGTGTTGGGCTATGTTGGGTCCTCTGAGTGGGTCCTGGTCCCTGGTGAACACTATCAGAATCTTCCCGGCACCTCTTCCAGGCTCTGTTCCTCCATATTCCCGAGGACCACCAGGTAAGGTCCCACCTGTCTGTCTACTGGACTTCCCTCTTCGGGAGCACCTACTCTCAGTCCCAGACGGTGACCTCTCCTGAGGAGGATGGGCTTTGGACGTGACCTCTCCTGAGGAGGAGTGGGCTTTGGACGTGACTTCTCCTGCGGAGGATGGGCTTTGGGCCCTGTGGTGCCTTCCTTGCACGCTCTCTTTTCTTGGTTCTGTGTTTCCAGTTCACAGGATGCCCCCTCCCTTCAGCCCTGGGGACCAAAATCAGAGTGTTTCCAGTTAAAGACCCGGGAGCTTGGAGGTCAAGTTCTTAAAACCAGGGCCCTGAAGGGAAGAGGTAGCCTGGGGAGGGGGAGAGTGAGAGGTAGTGGAGGAGAGGAGAGGGTCAAGGGGCAGGAGCGCCACTACATGTGTGTGTGTACCCAAGCACCCTGCAGTCCTGAACCCGGATTCTGCCAGGTAGTGAAAGAACGCCATCAGAATTGACATCCCAGGATCAATTTGACAAGAAGGATGCTCCTATCCACCCACAGCAGGGAGAGAGCTTCCGGAGTGAGTCAGCTGCCTGGCTAGTGAGCTGCCTGTGGCCCAAGCAGGGTACTCTGCACCCTGGCAGCCCTAGGTCCTGCTTTGGAGCCCCAGGAGAGGAACTGCCACTCAGGAAAGGAGAAAGGACACTTGTCTGCTCCTGAGGTCATCATCAGGGCTGGTGGCTGATGCAAGAATGTGGGGAGTGTTTTCCAGAGTTCTTGTTGAGGCCACGCTTGAGGCCTGTGGTGACCCTGGGAGGTGGACTCCTACCCCTGTTATACAAATGGAAGCTTGGGGGAAGGAAGAGATCTCTCAGTACAAGGCAGGAGTGATAAATGGAGATAGCTTTTATGCTGTCAGCACCTATGATGGTGGGCCTCATAGCTAAAGTGTAGGAGACACTTAACTGGGGCTCCCAGCAGACATGACGTAATTCTGGTCTTAGTCCTCACAGGCCCGCCAGGAGAGAACCCTGTTGTCATCCCTCCCCTCTTCAGAGAGAGAAACAGGCATGCTAGATGCCTTCCTCAGCACCCAGAGCAGTCCCGGGAAGCTGAGGCTTGAATCCAGCCTTCCATGTCAGAGTTCCTACCTTTAACTGCTTCTCTCAAAGTGTGTGTGTGTGTGTGTGTGTGTGTGTGTGTGTGTGTGTGTGTGTGTGTGTGGTGGAGTGGGGGAGCTGGCGGGAGACCCAACTACACTCCATGTGCCCTCTCACTGGTGGATGGGGGTGCATCAGGCCCTTCAGCTAACAGCACAGGGAGCTGGCCTAGCCCCAGAGGCAGGTGGACAGCCATCATCAGCCTGGTTCAGGGCACTTCAGGTTGGGGCACCCTAGACATGGTAGGTGACCTGTGCTGACATTTCTTATCTCCAGGGACACAAGCCAACTGTGAGTCTGTTGAAACAGTAAGGCTGGCGGGTTGCTCAGCTGAGGCAATCGGCTTATTCAGAAAAGAGAGAGGAGAGGTTGAAAGGGCAGGGCAGGGACACTATTGCTTTTGTGTGTGTGTGTGTGCGTGCTCAAGGGCACTGTAGGCCAGAATCAGAATCCTGCCGGATAGTGAAAGAGTTTCATCAGAATCCGCATCCTGGAATCAGTTTCACAAGAGAGATGTTTCAGCCCACAGCAGGCAGGGAGCATTCTGCCCTGGCCAGAGCACCTGGCTTGATGTAGCCAAGGAACCTAGAGTCTTGAGAAACAGGGGTCCTTCTCTGGCTCAGGGTTAATTCCCTTCACGGTCTTAGGAAACAGCTTTGCCCTATGCGCATGTCTGAGTCTCCCTGAATGTCCAGGGAGGGGCTTGGATCGTCTGGTTCTCAGGTTCTTTTCAGTCTTGCACCCTCGCTCTGAATGCTGACTCCTTAGATGGGGCTCACTTTTCAAAGACAGGAAATTGTTGCCATGCTCATTGGAGAGGAGGATTTTCAGCAGTTCCGCATTTTCCCTTAAGTCTGGCTTTCTACAATGGTCCTCACTACCCAAGGGGTGTCTAGAGGATTGTAGGAGAGATGCCATGCTGTCCAGACATGGGCACCAAAGCTGCAAATTATCCACAGACGTCTATACTGGCTAAGGAGCAGAGCCTTCTCTTCACTTGCTCTGGGCTGGGATTCTGCCTGGGCATCCCTGCACTTGAACGGTTCATGCTGATGGAGCCCCGAGTGCCAGCATGATTTCAGTCATGGTATCACACCACTACGCTGCTGAGGTGAATTACTACCATAAGAGGAGATGCAGGGTGGCAGAGGGAAAAGGTCAGGTTCACACCCCGCTATGACTTCTGACTCCTGGTGTGAGCATGCCTCCGCCCCCCAGCTTCATCGTCTTGCTGGTACTGACATTTCGGCACCCTGTGAATGAAGTCAGAAGCAGAGCACATGCATGGGGATGACACACACATGCAGGCCAGCGAGCAGTGTTTGGGTACAAGGCAAAGGGAGTGGACGGAAGAGGGATCTGAAAGACCCAGGTACAAAGTCTGTCACTCATTATTACAGGCAGACTTCTGATCCCCTCCCCCACTCCAGTCTCTCTTAAAATCCTAGAGTATCTTGGAATGTGGCTATCTGGGGAGAGATACAAATGACAATGAGGTGAACAGGCCAGGCCTTGATCCCATGTTACAGGTGTCCTCATAGGGAGAGGAGATTGGCACGTGGACCCACATGTTGAAAGCCATGTGACTGTGAAGGTGGTAATCTACAGGACCTGGAGTGGGGACTCAAGAAACCAAGTCTGCTGAACCTTGGACGCCTGGCCACCGGAACGGTAAGGTGACACATCTCTGTTGTTGAAGGGACAGGGATGTGTTGTGAAGGCACTAACAAGCATGGTAGAGGAGTCCAGAAAATGCCTACGAAGGTCTGATGCATAGTAGGGCCTCAGCAAATGTCCCTTGCCTGTATTCCAAGAAAAGGGACCGCAGCTGGCCCTCTGGGGAGAAGGGACTGGGCATACTGCAGAGTCATCCTGTGTCAGCTTGAATCCAAGGGCCCCATCCTTGACTCCACCCTCACTTAATGCCCTGATTGGCAGCTAACCCTGCCCTCAGCCCAGCCCTGGCCTTGGAACTGGCTTCCGGCCAGGTCGGTTGGGTGCTGGGTACAGAACTGCCTTCACCTGTGCCCGAGTTCAGACCAAGCCTGTCATGGTTCATAGGCCGGTTTGGCATAGGGCACAGTTGCCAGGGAGTGGTAGAGAGGACTCCTGGTGTGAGCACGCCCCACAAGCTTCAGGAGGGGGTTGGGGGTCCCTGACTCAGCAGTCTTGGCTGGGATCAGCACCTCACTCTCCAGACTCCTTCCACCACCAGACTGCCTACAGGTCACTCCAAGCCTTGGGGAGGCTACAGGATACGGGGTAGGGAGTCAGTGGGAGCCAGGTGTCAAGTCCTAGCTAGGCCGTGGATGGGCTGTGTGGGCTGTGTGACGTTGGGCCCTCCTTCAGTGGAGACTAGTCGGGCTCAGACAGACAGAGGCTTCTGTAATGGGAAGGTCATCTCCACCCATGGAGCTCCCAAGGCCCTCCATAATGGCATCTATTGTGATCGGCTCACAACTAACTGCTCAGAACTGTTGCTGAGTCAAATTCCTGGAGAGTCAGGATGTGTGCCTGTGGGTAGGATAGCTGTCTGGCACATCCAGGGACCAGAGTTTCCTCCCTACAGCATCCCTCCTGCAGCTCTTGGCAGCCTGAGAGGCTAGGTAACAGACCTCAGCTCCCGCCCCCAGCCCTGAGTTCCCTCAGTGTTCTTTTGCTTTCCGTTACCACCCAAACTTGTCAGGATGTTCATATTTTCTGTGGTCTCTCCTCCCCTTCCCCTTAGGAGAATGGTGATCATGTAGCAGGAACTTTGTGCTGATTACTGTTCCATCTCCTGCACCCAGAACAGTTGCCCTGTGCTGAGCCCTTCCCCGACCTGGGTCCTGCACTTCCGACCTAGGGCTGACAAAGAAAACAGAGAAAGGATAGACACATGGATACACGTACACGGAGAAGCTGGGGTTGGGTGGTCTGGGCTCTCCGATGGAGAAGCCGCGGCACACTGGCAGCTTAGTCTGTTTATCATATACACTTGAACAGGGAGGCAGTGTTACAGCGTACAGATAAGCAAGGGGGCGGGGTTTATGGTGTACAGCTGAACAAGGAGGCGGGTTTAGCTAATCTCCCAGGAGCAGTCTGTAGGAGAGTAGTCTTCAGGCTGTATACATCTTGGGGTGGGGTGGGGGGCACAGAAAGTCCACACTCACACCTAAGGGAGGCTCTGCCACTACCACTCGACTGAAGCATTGGTCCTTGACATGGCCCTGTCCGGGTCCAACATTACACACTCACATAAGACTTTCCTAGCTCCCTACAGCCTGGGACATAGTAGGTGTTCAGGCGGTCTCTGGGAGGGGAAGGTGCTGTGGATATCGTTCTATATAAATAAAACACTGATGGCCAGTGACCAGGCAGGAAGTAGGTGGCCAGGCAGGAAGTAGGTGGGACAAGGAGAGAGGAGAATTCTGGGAAGCAGAAGGCTGAGGGGGGAGACACGGCAGCCACCGCCAGGAGAAGCAGCATGTAAAGATGCCGGTAAGCCACCAGCCACGTGGCAAGGTATAGATTTATAAAAATGGGTTAATTTAAGATATAAGAACAGTTAGCAAGAAGCCTGCCACGGCCATACAGTTTATAAGTGATATAAGTTTCTGAGTGATTATTTTATACGTGGATTGTGGGACTGCGGGGTTTGGTGGAACCTGGAGAGAAGCCCTCCAGCAACAGGAAGGGAAAGAGAGAGAAAGATCGTTTGCAGTCAGCCTTTACTGCATTTGGGACTGTTGCTTTAAATCAGAGCCCAGTTCTACTTTCTACTTTCTAGAGATGCAGGAAAGAGACACAGACACAGGGACTGTTAGCTTGACCTGTTTCCTGAGAGGGCAAGAGGCACCAGGCTGGGGACCTGAGAGCAGATGGCAGCTGATGACTGAAGGCTTTAGGAAACAGGGTGCTGAGATATCAAAGGTGAGGAAGAATTAGACAGATGAGGCCAGAGCAGCTTCTAGGCAGAGAACAGCTCTTGCAATGGTACTGGGTGGGGGGTGGGGAGCTTGTGTGGGGTTACAGGCATGTGATGCTCTGCATGGGATATGGTCCAGGAAGGGACTGGGTTAGGGGTTGATGGGACACACCTTTGGGATGTACAAACCCAGCCTATGGCTTCTCTGGGCGCTCAGAGGCCTCCTGCTGATTGAGAGTCAGGGCTGTCCAGGGGCAGCCAACTGTTGCCCGATGTCTGCCCAAGCACAGTTTTCCGAGTGAGCTTACTCTCCTGAGCTGGTGTCTGTCTCTCAGTCTCTGGAGTCTGGGGTATAGGCCCAGCCAGTGTGGCTTTGGGATCTTGGAGTAGCCACACCTATCCTGAGCCGAGTTTGCTCCTCAGACTGGCAGCTGGAGGTCTCAGGGCTTTGTCAGCCTTGCCTGCCAGAGCTGGTGTTTGGGCAGCTGGAGCCGAGGCAAGGCAGCAGTTGGTAGAACTGCCTTCTCACCCCAGGGGATTATGGGAAGAATTCTTCCTGCTTTGCTCAGCTGAGGATCTGGATCCTGGTCCTTTTTCAAGGTTTGTCATTGACACTCCTGGTGACCTCAGTAATTCTTCTGCTTCCCCTAGGCCTTGTTCTTCTCATCTGTAAGACAGTTAAAACCTTCCCTTCCTCCATCTTCAGAGATGGGAAACTTTTTCACTTTGTGCTGGACTCCTGGGGCGTAGAAGACTCAGTCCTGTCCAGTGAGGAAGAGAACCACAGATGTATCCACCATCTGTGTCCACTCCAAACGAAATAATGACGCAGCTGCCACTCAGAACTTCTCAACCCAGACCTTGCGACCCTACTGAATACCTTCATTGTTTTTCTCTGCATGCTCTCAGATAATAGCTCTCACTCCCATTGTGTAGACGAGAAGACTGAGGCTTGAGTGATCAGATATTGCTCTAAAATCCACACAGCTGGCACAATGACTCCTGATTTAAATCAGTCTGAATGAAAGCCACTCACTGGCTCTGCTGTCTCTCATTTGTGCATCTGTTGCTACTGTGGCCAGGTTTGGGGTATCCTGTACTTCAGGTCCATCCCTGACTAATTGTGCAGTTTCTAAGTCAGGGGAGAAAGAGCAGGGCTTTCTATTAGCAATCTGCCTGTGAGGATCTTGGGGTCAGAAGTCCCATGCCTGGGGTCTCAAGATGCATGCTCTCTGGAAGATTCTGAGCCTCACCATCAGCTTTTGGAAGTACACGCCTGTGAGTGAGGAGACCCCTGCCCAGCACCCTCAGATTGCTCTTTCCTGCAGTTAGCTGGCAGTGGGCAAGGTCTGGCTGGGAGCCCAGACTTCCTGCAGCCCTGGCTATTGCTGGATGGCCAGTGTGTTCTTGCAAAGGTCTCTACCCTTTTGGGGTTGTTTGTTTTTGAGACACGGTCTCATAAATCCCAGGCTAGCCTTAAACTCATTGTATAGACAGTCAAGAATGGCCTTGAACTTGTGATCTTCCTGCCTCTATTTCTGGAATGCTGGGAGTATAAGGTATACCACCACACCTGACTTTATGTGATGCAGGGATCAAACCAAGGGCTTTGCGCATGCTAGGCAAACACTGTACCAACTGAGCTACATCCTCAACAAGTCTTCTCTGTGAGATGTCAGATTCCAGATTTGCAGACATGAGGCTGGAGTAAGCTCTCCGAGCAACACATAATATGAAGTAACTGTAGATGACTCAAGCCCTGTCTTGGTTGGATCTGGAAGGCCGAATGTGGTTTTGAATGGTTCCCCTCACCCCTCCCAAAGCCCCTCCTAGATCTTGTGGCTGCTCATATGGCTCCACCCTGCATCTCAGATCATTTGGGAGAGCAGACAGTGATGCAAGAGGGAGGGAGTGAGAAGGGCTGAGGTCACTGTGGCCAACTGCCCAATAGTGTGTGATGGAGGGTGTCCTTGGCTCATGCCCACACCTAGCCAGCCTCCGCCTTCCATCCTGTAAAACAGTGATAACAATAGTACTTACTTTCAGAGGTACTTGAATGGTGAGGATAATATAGGGACCAACGGGAAGCATGGTTGAAAGACACATGGCACTGAGCCTGGGATGTAGTGAGCAAGCACTCAGAGAGAATGGCTTGGCAATAAGATGATGGTGCTGGTGATGGCGAGGATAGGGAGAAGGATGATGTCAGCCATGATGCTGTCCAACTCCACCCTTGTGGTTCTTCCTGGGTGCCTCTACCCAAGACATCCCACCCCAGTACAAACATGTCCGGAGAAACCAAGTAGCCAGGGCATGCCCTCTGAGTTGGGTAGAGGCCAGATGCTGACCCTCATGGACAGATCAGTGCCCAATGGCTGTGTTCTGGGCATGGTGGCAGCATCAGCTTTGAAAGAATTAATGGAAGTCTTCCCAGGGGAGGCAGTGCTTAGCTGCAGTATTGATGGAGGTGTAGGAATTGGCTGATAGAACAGAATAGGATTTCTCTTTTCCATTTAAAGGCATTCCTGGCCGATGAAATAACATGAGCAAAGGCAGAGAGGTGTGAAATAGCCTGTCGAGCTTGGGAAGCTGTGAGAGGCACAATATGGTTAGACAGTTGGGAGCCAGTGGCAGCAGGGAGATGAGGGAGGAGTGGGGATGTTTGGGGCAGATCTCACCGAGCCTGGGGTGCTAAGTCATGTACACCCTAGCTTTAAGGCCGAGCTGTTTGGTACATTGTACGATAGACATTCCAAGCGTCTACCGATCCCAAGCACTTTTGTGGAAGACACCGTGAGTGCAGCCCGGATGCCTCAGAATCCCCAGGCTGGGTCGTTCCTTCCTCAGTCGTTGAGATTTCCAGTGGCAAAGTTTGAGGCTGACACGCCTCCCCATTATTGCCTCCCCATCTAGTGTCCTGTCCCGTCCTGTGTCTGGTAACTGGTTCCTATGGGGCCTGGGGGCCCAGGACTCTTTTCTCAATTTGTGATAATTATGAGAAGTATTTCCAGAGGCTGGAGATGGTTTAGTCTAGAAAGCCCTTGCTGTGCAAGCCTGAAGAACCTGGGCTTGGACCCCCAGCAACCTGTGCAAAATCCAGGCCCAGAGGAAGTGAAGACAGGTGGGTTAGGACTCACTGGCCAGTCAGCTCATCCAAATGAATGACCTCCACGTTTGGTGAAAGACCTGGTTTCCAGAAATTAAGTAGAGGGTCAGTGCGATGGTTCAGTGCTGAGGTGGTGCTTGCTGCCAAACCTGACAACCTGAGTTCAAATCCCAGGCCCCATATGGTGAAAAGAGAGAAACGAAACCCACAAACTGTCCTCTGATGTCCACATGAGAGACATGGTGAGAACTCATGAGCATGCGCGCGCGCGCACACACACACACACACACACACACACACACACACACACAAACTTAAGAGGGGAACAAGTGAAGAAGACACTTAGCACTGACCTCAGATCTCCACAAACAACATGTGTATTGCACCAGCACACACTCATGCACACACCCACAGGAACACATATATCTTAACTCACACACAGCCCCATACATACACAACCTCTCCAGCTCCAGACCTCTGGGAGGAGCAGGCAAAGGCTTTGGAGGGATTTACCTCAAAGTCCAGTTTGACCCTCTGCCCAGTCCCTCCCCATAGAGGCTGATCTTGAAAGAACTTCCCCGAAGAACATTCTGCCAGCAAATCTTCCTCTTGGCCTCCTTCCCCAGGAGCCCCACCCGAAACAGCCCTCATGTAGGGATGCCCATGATGGGTGACATGTAATAAAGGGGTGATAAGGAACCCTGATTTTGAGGGAACCTTCAAAAAGGCATCTCTGTCCAGGGTGAGGGAAGGAACTGGAAGGACACATCGGAGTCTGGCGGTCAGAGAGGGCACGGTTGCTGCAGTTTAGCAGATGTGGGCATGAGGTGGCGGGGCAGGCAGGAAGGGCACATCTGAGGGGACCTAGAGAGCAGGGGAGAGACTGAGTGTGGGAAGGGTCTGGGAGCCATGGAACATCAGGGCAGAGGTGGAGTCCGTGCCTGGAATGACAGGAAAGACTGAACAAGACAGACAGCTCAGTGAGCATCATGGCTACCAGACATCTGGGTGGAGGGGCCCTGGAGGTGTTTAGGGGGGCTGTGACCTGGGGGTGCGGAGGTTGGGTAACAGCAACTGGTGGTTTGCAGAACATTCATTCACCCATTGAGTTTGTCAGCAATCAGAAAGACCCAGTGTCCTAGAGAGTCTTGCCGGGTGAAGGGACACTTGCACTGTGAGTGGCAGCTACTTACAAGTAGTCAGCTAGCATCCCTGTATGCCAGTGTACTACATGCCCTGCAGCTCCCTCTGAAATCCTCCCGAGAACCCGCTAGACAGACACCTCAGTCCTCGTCATAAAGAGGAAGCCAGAGCTCAGGGAGGCTCCCGCTTTGGCAGGAACCAGGCGGCTCCCAATGGTGGAGTTAAATCCAGGCTCATCTGACACATGCCTGTAATTGCTGGAGGGGAGATCGGGACCCAGAATTCTTGGCTCTTTAATCAGAGTCCTTTCTCCTTGCTCAAGTGGCCACTTCCTGTGGTGAATTCCAGAACTTCTGATCATGAGCCAACTTCTTCTTCTTCCAAGAAACAGAGCCGAGAATGACCAGTTTCTGGGGCCTTGGGGTGGAGTGGGATTATCTTAGCAGGAATTTCCAGGCCCGGGAATCCCCCACTCCTGGTCTGGAGCCCTGGCACACAGGAGAAGGTCTCTGTAGCAGCGGCAGCAGGAGTCTGTCCAGTGGACAGCATCGCCACAGTGTCAGGAAGGCGGGGCCCTCAAGCCTGCCTCAGCTTGGCCCCATCACCCCCAGCCTGTGCCCTGTGGGGAAATGGGCTCTCTTCATTCATCTTTTCCCAAAACGTTTCTGTAGAGCCTGGCTGTCTCATTGAACCGTGAATGTCTGCTGTCTCCCTTCTCCATGATTTTGTGTCCCAGGGCTTCAGTGACCTGCTGTCCACCACGATCTAAATACATTAAATGGAAGCAAGGTATGGTGGAACACTCCTGCAACCCCAGCCCTGGGAAGGCAAGGGCAGGAGGTCTGTGAGTTCAAAGCCAGCCTGAACTGCACACTGAGACCTTGTCTCAAAAGACAAAACCAATCATTTTAAATGGAAAATTCCAGAAATCACTTGGGAACTTTAAATTACATGCGGTTGTGAGCAGCGTTGTGCTCTTTCTGTGTCTCACCCAGAAAGTGAGCCATCCTTCTGCACATTATACACCCCACATGTACTACCTGCCCTTGCTCCTCCAGCAGACACTATAGTTAGCTATTAGACTCCCTATGGAAAGATCAAACACCCAGCGGGTGACAGAACGCGCAGGGTGTCCATGTTTGCTCATCTCATCCTGGGGTCCAGGGAGGACAAGGACCTGCCCAAGGCCACCCAGTGCTTTGGTGTACAGCATGTTCCATCCTGAGTGTCCCAACCAGCAACTCAGTGCCTTTCCACGTCCCAGATCAATGTGAGTTGTGGCATCAGGCCAGAGGATTGAGGGAATTTAGAAACTGACTTGAGTTCAAGGTCTGGCTCCACCCTGGACTTGCCAGGAGACTCTGCCAAGTCACCGGTCTCCCAGTCTCAATTTCCTGGGCTTTGAAATCAAAATAATGACTCCTTCCTTACATAGTCCTTGTGAGAACGTAGAGAGAACATCGTGTGGGAGACATGCAGTGGGCCTGAGCTGCTCCAGCCAATGACCATCTTCATTAATGTTGACACAATCAACACCAGCTGTGCGCTCTCAGACACACAGCTTACTTCAGCCCCATCCAGAGCAACGCAAACTGCAGACGCACTGACGGCCCGGCACACTAGAGATGCTCACTAAAGCTTGGTGTCTCTAACTCTGCATGCAATCATTCTGCTTCCATGGGTGGCTGCAGGGGACCTGCCTCATTCCTCATGACAACAACCCAGGAGACAAGAAGAGACGAAATTGTGATTGGAAGAGAGGAAAAGAGTACGGAGCTAGCTTCTAAAATCATCTTCTCATGGAAGCTTGAAACAAAGCAGCATGTGTTTTAAAAACCTGGTGTAGCTCAGACCTCTCTGGTCACAGCCAAGACTTTTACAGGCCCTAGGGAAGGAGCCAGAACCTGCAGATGACCTCCCTCCTCTACTCACCCCGGCCAACACTGACCCTGGGCAAGGCTCAGGAAGAAAACCAGTCCTTTGTGGTCGTCCAGGCTATAGCTGAACAAATGCCAGAAATGTTCTTTTGGTAGCTAGATTTCATCTGGAGCTATGGTGGAACAGAATATTCTAGGTCTGGGAAGGTTCTAGTGTCTCCGAGTCCAGCCTCCATTTCTCTCCAGTTTCATGGGAGTCCAGAGTCGGATGGTCTCCAGGGATGGAGATGTAGCCCCAGGCCTGATGCCCCATGTAGCACCTCCTCATTCCCATCAAGGGCCTCCCCTCTTCTGTCCATCAACCATACAGCCCAATAGCATCTGTGGTGGTTTGCATGAGGATGCTCCCATAGCTTCATGAGTTTGAATACTTCATCTCCAGTTGGTGGAACTGTTTGGAAAGGACTAGGAGGTGTGGCCTTGTTGGAGGAGGTGTGTCACTGGGGTGGGTTTTCAGGTTCCAGAAGCCCATGCCCTTCCCAGTTAGCTCTCTCTGTGTGCCTTGCTGTTGACTCATGGCGGGACCTCTCAGCTACTGTTCTAGCGCCATGCCTGCCCACCTGCTGCTGTGCTCCCCACTATGACGGTCATGGACTCTGGGGTTCCAAAGCTGTAAGTGAGCCCCCAATAAACTTCCCTGTAAGTTACCTTGGTTGTGGTGTTTTGTCGCAACAATTGAAAAGTAACTAAGACGGCAGCATCTCGGTGTGTCCCCAAGGGTGTGCTGGCTCAGAGGCAGCTAGGGATGAACATGTTGTCCTCCCTATCTTACTGCACTGCCAGTTGCCCACTTAGCACCCAACTCCTGCACCAGCTTGGACCGAGAGAAGGTTGGACCTAGGTGAGGCTGGATCCACATGGCGCATGGCACGTGAGAAGTAATCTAAATGCCCTCAGAGGTGCGTTCTAAGACTGCTGGGGGACACAGAAAACCTTGAGTGGTACCAAATGCTATATACAGACCTTGGGGCAGAGGGAGCCTGGGAACAATGAGGACCTCAGTTGGTCCTTTTGTTCGTAACCTTCGAGTGGCTAAAGCCGAGGGAAGCGTGTGGACTCTTACCACGTGGTCAGCCATCCACAGAAGCAATGGTGACCACTCCCTGATGCTCAGCTCTCGCTGCTCACCGAAGCTACTACGAGCAAGTGAGTCCTGTTTTAATTCCCATTTTACACCTGAGGAAGGAGACCTTAGAGATATTACCAGGCTTTCCCAAATGTGTACACTGAATGGGTGGTAGAGTTAGGAAGTGAATCCCGACAACAAAACTTGGGCCTCCAGCCATATCATACAGGTGCCTTCGACTCCAGTGGGAAACTCATTTAAACTGGGATGTTTCAGGGTGGCCTTCATCAGCTCAGGACTATTGAAGCCAGGTATCATTATTTATGTTTGTAATCCCAGCACTTAGAAGGCAGAGGCAGGAGGATTGCTGCTGGAGGATAGCCTGGGTTATCTCTTCCGTGACTGGCTGACACATTAGGTAAGATACGGGCCCAGACATTTTCCTCAGCTTCAGCCCACTCAAAGTTCATGAACCGGGAGGCTAACCTAAATCCTGCAGAGTGAGACTCTGTCTTCAAAAAACCACGAAGAAATACGTATGGGCTAGTAAGAACAAAGCGGAGCCGTTAGTGTGAAGGGAGGCCACCCAGGCTCATGTCACTATCTTAGCAGGCACAGCTGGACAGATGCTGCCCAGGGCCTGGAGTAGTGATGGGAGAGCCAGTCACACGAAGAAGGATGACAAATAGGAAATGTGCCCTTTGTCAAGGGGTGTGGCCAGGCTAAGGAACTGCCGAGAAAGCCTGGGAACATGTCCTCCAGCTGTCTTCTCTCCTTCCCTTCCATGTCCTGCTGAGATCCAAGCAGAAGCCAAAGGGCCTTGGAGCCTGTTCAGGTCAGTCTCTGAGTGCACAGTGGGTTTTAGAGAGAAGGAGAGCTGGCCTGGAAGGACACAATCCACCCACCCAACACACATCATCTGCCCCCCCCCACTGTCTCTCTATTTTGCATATCTCTCCCAGCATTGCTGTATCAGGCTCTGCTCTTGAGGGGAGGAGGGAATGATTGTAGGCAAAACAGATGTGGTTGCAGTCTGCCTCTGTGGGAAGCTGTGGTCTGGGTGTCTGGGACTAAAAGTGGACAGTGCTGCCCTTGACCTACACAGGAGTCACCGCTTTCTGTGCCCTGAGAGGCAATCGAAGCCGCTGTCTCCTGTGTGTGGCCGACAGAGCAGATGTCAGAGGAGACAGACGCCATCCAACCAGCAAAAAAGAAAATCCATCTGCTGAATTCACCAACTGGCCGACAAATCTTGAGATTACACGCAGCTCTGGAGACGGGAAACTGTAGTCTTGCTGAGGAAGGGCTCTGCCCAGGGCCCACCTTGGCCTGGGTGGCTTCATGAAGAAACAAAGCCCCAGGGGCAGGCGGGCAAGTCCCACCCAGCCTTTGGGGTGTGGGTATTATCAGAACCCTGGCTTCAGTTCCAGCTCAACAGGGCACCCTCGAAGGAGCTGGACCTCCCTCCGGGCCTCAAACTCTTGTGCAGAGGGCCCGGGACATGGAGTTCCGAGGCTGTACACATCCTGGAGAAAAGCCACACAGCAGGGTGTGCCCCCTGCCCCGTGTGCTCCCCCAGAGCTGCAGCCTGCCCCTGCATGAATGCCTCCCTGACTTCTGATTTCCTCCAGGACCGTGAGTTCCTTCCCTGCTTCCTTGCCCTTAATTATCCCGCTCCCTTCCACCCTGACTTAATTACTGCATCTGAGCACATTACCTCTGGCTGCTCAGACTTGCTGTGAGGTTAACGATGCCAACAGCGCTCATCTGAGGGTTCCAAGCATGGGGGGGGGGGCCCTCTGGGAGCCCACTTAGGGGTCTGGGAGGGGGAGAGTGCTGCCCTTGTAACACCCCCACCCCCACACTTGGTGTGACTGACGCCGTCGATGTTAGCAGCTCACTAGGATCTGACGGGTTGGGACCGGGGCGTTTAGACTACCAGTTATCTCAAGTCGGGCTTGTTTGTTTGTTTAGGTTAATAGCTTTTCTTTTCCAACTTTTAGTTTCATTAGTATTTTTAGTTATTGTACCGAATGATAGGTTCTTGTAGCTGGAGTTTTCCTGTGTCCACCCGGCTCCTTGTAGCCGCTCAGGCCCAGTTTAACACACAGAGACTTATATTACTTATAAACTGTATGGCCGTGGCAGGCTTCTTGCTATCTGTTCTTATACCTTAAATTAATCCATTTCTATTTATCTACAAGTTGCCACGTGGCTCATGGCTTACCAGTATCTTACATCATGCTTCTCCTCGTGGCAGCTGGCAGCATCTCCTGACTCAGCCTTCTTCTACCCAGCATTCTCCTCTCTCCTTGTCCCGCCTACACTATCGTTCCTGCCTGGCTACTGGCCAATCAGCGTTTTATTTATCAATCAATCATAGCAACAGGTTCTATTATTACATTTTTACACATGTGAAACAGTTACTGTATCGAATGCTGGGTTCCATTACATTTTCTATGCACATGTAATATTGGACCTGGCTGGTATTCATGCCTCCACTGCCCTCTGTCTCACTCTTCCTCTGCCCATTCTTGCTGGTCTCCTTCCTCTCAAACCAAACCCCTCTGCTTTCATGTCATGTATATTTATACCGAGATTCTACATATAAAAGAACGTGTGATATTTTATCAGTCTTTCCCCGTACATTCTCTCGTCCCCCCAACTTACTTAGTTTCCCTCCATTACTAGGCTGTCAAAGTCATTTCCTGTAAGATTTCATCTATCGGTACATTTGTATGTCGGTTTTCATGATCTGTATGAGCCCCTGAAGTTCAATGCCCAGGTCCTTTATGCCTGGACCTGAGAGGGTCTGCCACTTGGAAATGTGGGCTTAGCAGATGCCCGGGGAAAAAGCTGGAGGCTAAGTCTCCCCATGGGAATGTCATTATGAAGACAGTAACCCAGGGCAATACACTGGTATACTACCTCTGCCTCCTTCCAGATTAAAGATGCCCCTGGGCAGAAGGGCTGCACAAAAAAGCCCTTAGCTCTGTGCACAATCCAGAGTGGTGCTGGCCAGCAACAGGGTCAGACACTAAGGATGCACTCCTGTACCCAGCCCTGATGCAGGCCAGGCCTCTGTCCAGCCCCAACCAAGGTCACGAAGGTCATGGTCTCTGCAGCCAGAGGCTGTCACTCTGCTGTGATGGGAGCAGGCCTGAAAACAGAACTTCATTTGTTCAGGACCAAGATATTCCCCACCCAGCAGAGCCCTGTGTCCTGCCCCTCCCGCTCAACCACTGCATCCCCTAACTCAGCTGGTAGCAGGTCACTGCTTGGGTCACGTTCTTTGTGAGTGTGTGAGATTGTGATCTGGCACTGAGGATAAGAGTGAGCAGGGTTAGCCTGTGAGTGAGTATAAGGATGTGCTCATGCAGAAGCCACACTTCATAAAATCAGCTACATCCAGGGAAGAACAGCAGACACTCCCCGGCATTGGTCTCAGAGTCAAGGTGTACGGACCCCACGCAGCCTAGAGAGGCTTCAGAGGCTCTGAGCCAACAGGCTCCAGTCTGTATTTTTCCCCCAGGGTCTGTGGTTATCCCGGGCCCCTCTGGCTGACAGGGAGGCTTTCGGGGGCTGGGGAGATCTTCTGGGTCATCCAGAGCAAATCTGATCCCTTTGTTCTCAGAGCAAATCCATCACTAGTTGGGCTGGAGAGATGGCTCAGCAGTTAAGACACAGGCTGCTGCTCTGGAGAACCCAGGTTTGAGTCCCAGCACCGGCATGGTGGCTCACAGCCATCTGAAACTCTAGTTCCAGGGGGTCTGACGCCCTCTCCTGGCTTCTGCAGGCACTGCATGCACAGACATACATGCAGGCAAAACACCTATATACACAAACTAAAAATAAATACACCTTAAAAACAAAATCAATCCATTACTAGGTCCCTACCTATGGAAAGCCAGTTTTTTATAGGGGGGAGGGGCCAGGCCTGGAGCTGGGAAAGGAGACCAGGGCTGACAGAACCTTACTGAGACACCTGTGCTCTGTTCTTAACACACAGCTAAATTAATCTCCTCCACCACCTTGGGGGATGGGAGCTAGGTTATTAGCTCCATTTTATGGAAAAAAAAAAAAACAGGCACAGAGAAGCAGGTAAAAACAGGCACAGAGAAGGGCGGTGACTTGCCCAGGTTGCCCTGAGCTTTCGTTCTCATCCTTTTCCCACCAAGTCATACCCACTTCCGTGCTCCCCAAAGTTCAGAGGACCAGTGGGAGAGCTGAGAGTTCAGCCAGTGCTTCGAGCTTCCATCTCAACTCTCCTTTCCTGACTCCACTCCTGGTCTCTTCAACCATTGGCTGCGGAGCCCTTCGTTACCTGGAACAGAAGAAGGGTGCTCACCGAGGCCGAGGATGCAGGAGGACGGGAAAGCGTGTTGTGCCTACGTCTTGCAGAGCACCAGCCTCCATGGCGGCGCCTGTGGAGCCACAGATTGGGTTCCTAGATGCTCTGCCCTCTCCTCTCTCCTACAGTGTGGTGTGCACACCAACCCACCAGCCATGGCTTTCCCAGTGTCACCAGGAGTTCCTTGATATGATGGTTAGTAGTTGGTCAACTTGACAGGA